GTTAAGTAAAACATTTCAGTAGTTCCCTTCGACTGTAATTAGTGGTCATATCTTTAACAGGTAATCTGTTTCTAGTACTGTTCGCTGTATTCTTGAAAAAAAGTCTGACCTACTCAGGAATCTAGACCAACAGTAGCTATGGTAGTCAGTTCAACAGTTTATCGTCCATTTTCTGCGAAAAAAGTTGTCTCCTCAAAAACGACTTTTTTGATTAGTTGTTATGTTTCCACTTTAAAAGAAGACATATCATTAGTTCTAACGTAATATTAGTTATGTAACCAGAGAAAAATGGAAAAAAACTTGGTAGAGGGCTTTTATGTTAAGGAAAAAACGCATCATATTTATACATTCTTAGCCACATTAAAGTTTGGCTAGATCAGATCAACGTCCACCTCATGACCCATGTCAAGGAGGTGCCCGGTGATGGCATTGCTTAAAGCATCTGTTCCCTTTAGACATAAGCTTTTTGGTACATGTTCATAAAATCGTAGGCATGGCCTTCTTCCTGTTCTTCCAATATAATTACTCCCGCAGATACAGTTGGAGTTAACATGTGAAGGATATCTATCGATTTTTGATTGCACCGAAGAGCAGGTTGTTCGATAGACAGGGACGAGCTTAGCTGCAAGATAGGCTCTGGCTAGTGATGTACTCAGCCTTCTGTTGATCATCGCTGCAATGTTTTCACCCTTATAATCAAGGTGAATGTAGATTGGCTTTTTTCTTACTGTGATTTGTTTTACATTTGTGACTTCATATCTTCCATACTTGTTGATGAACATTTGAGGGTGCCCATTGCTCTTCAACATCTTTTCAAGAAACTCAAATTCTTCCTCTAATTTCTCTATAGAGCATATTCTCTTCGCTCTATAGTACAGAGTCTTGACTAGACCACGTTTGAAGCTATTTGGACAAAAGCTACTAAAATGTAAGTATTATCCTTTCCAAGTAGGCTTTCGATAAATTGACTTCTGTAGACTACCGTCTTTTAGGCGTTCCATGGCAATGTCGAGGAAGCGGAACTTTCCGTCACTTTCATGTTCCATAGTAAATTCAATATTGGTGTGTGCATCATTGAATAATCTTAGTAAGTGTGAAGCATGACTTTCATTGTTGCACACTATAAATGTGTCATCAACATATCGACAGTAGGAAGTTGTTTCGTCAATTGCATGCTTCAACTTTGTTCTTTCAAGGTTGGACATGAATATATCTGCTAAAACAGGGCTAAGTGGACTGCCCATAGCTACACCATCTATTTGGCGGTAAAGAGTGTTGTCAAATTGGAATTGCACATCCATGGTACACATTAGCAGTAGGCGTTTGAATTGCGACTCTGGGAGTGGGAGAAGATCAGACTGCTGACAAATGATCTCAGTAGTTGGCTTAAAGGCTGGACAAGTTGTCCAATGAGGTTATTTCCTATCCACAACGTAAACTAAATTCAGGTACTAAGGAATAAACACTTCTATCTCTGCTGCAGGCATTGACTTAAACTAATGGTTTCAGTGTTTTGGCCGCTGTCTATCAGTATACATCACACCATGATAGTAGTATTAGTAGTATTATAAGTAGTAGTATTTATAACACAGATAAAAGAAATCATCTGTTGTCATAATGAAACATTTATTTTCACAGAGTATAAACAACACACAAAAGTGAGTAATTCAGTAATACTTATCTTACAAAAAACTTTACAAGTAGATAAGACATCCAATTACCATTTTAAATTTGTATTAACAAAAAGATATTAATTTCTTTATCTGAATGTGTTAGTAATATACCTTTTTTTGTTCACAATAATATAATATATATATCTATAGTTTTATAGAACTTAATATGAATAGTGTTCACACTTTGGTTTTTAGAGTTCTATGCTTAAATTATCAATCCTTATCAAAAAATCTTATGTTCGACCTTGAATCAATAGAATATATACAAATAATTAGAAATTTATATTCTAGTCATCTTTGAAAATGTATTGCTTATTTAATTATAGACGAGTACAACAGTCATTTCTCTATTAGTGTTATTCAAACAAACAAACTACGTGTTCAATTTTCAACATAACTTACATATATATATATGTTGAATATTTAACTGAATCTTAGGATAGGACCAATGAGGTTCATCCAGTTGGGATGTGAGGACGGATTTCCAACGGATGACACTGGGGGGGGGTGTCATATACGAGCTAGCTTGCCTTGTGACCAGAAGGTCCTAGGTTCGAACCCTGGTGATTGGTGTGTACTTCGAGTGAGTCCCAAACTAGGACGAAGGAAACAGCTGGCTGTCCAGTACTTCCCATCTGGTGGTTTTCAATGGTTCTCTAACTGATATCAATCAATCAATCAATCCGTGCTCAAACTCGAAAAATTTATAAGTCGTGGATGAGCACTATTGGAAAAAATCTCATCTAACAATTCTACTGTGCTGCTGAAAATTGTATCTCGTAAATACATCACTAGAATTAACACCCACTAAATAATCAATACCAAAAAGGCTAACATCTGATTTTTCTTAAACAAGACCTTTCCTGCAACAGTTTTAAGAGTGATATTCTCTAACCGTCTATTGCTTCGAAGCAAAGTGAAAGATAAGCTTCCGCATATGACCACTCCGGTGTGCATATATCATTCTATGCAGGTCTTTTCAAAACGTGTTAGAGAACATTACCCAGTATGGTTGAAAAGAGAACGAAATCGCCAGAAAGATATCTAATGGATGGGAAAGTTCCAGAATAATTTCCGGTTAAGGGTCAAATTAATAAAAATTACAATTAGGAATTAGAATGCCATAATAAACAGGGCAGGGGCATGGATAAAACTCAAACAAAGTAGCATTATAATAACTAAGAAGATTGACATTGTGCAATTGGGGGTTAGAAATGTAGAAATAACAAAATAGACAGGATGTTTGGATAAAAAACTAATGTGATGAATAATTGTTTATGCAATCAGGGATTAAATATGTAGAAATAGTAAAATTACAAAATAAACAGGAAGTGTGGATATGAAAATATGGTAGTGTAGACAGGGATTAAGAAAAACTTAAAAATAACATGAATAAACAGGAAGTTTGGATAAGAAAGGCGATGGGATGGTCATTGCTAAAAAAATTTTACCTGTTTATGATGGCCATGGCAGGGACAGGGATATAAATACACGAATGTACAGCCTAGATGATGACTTCGTCGAAAAGAAAATTTTCTTCGCTGCAACTGTCTTTTTATTCCCTATGATCAAATGTGTATATTCCGTGATTAGAAAGATATCTGTTTGTCAAACTCCTCGCTGTTCTTTTTTCTCTAACATTATATTGCCTTCTATGTAAAGATATAGAACCTATGTAAGATACATCAACAAACTCACTAATCTTAACCCTAATAAAACTGAGGACTATCAGTCACATGGTGATTACAATACATGTGAGTGTAGACGGCGCCTTTTCTTTTTCTAAAAAAACTTGAATCCCTTGTAAATACCTAAAGTTGACGGTAAATACATTACATTAAGATTTGTAGTCGAAAAAAAATGGTAACATTGAAAATTGAACACGCGCAACCGCTGAATTCAAACTTCTGATGAAGTTAATTCCGTTTACATTGCTAAATCTTTTAAGAATATGTGTAATAATATTGCTGAACTAATTTACTACAATTTTATTGACTGATATTGATAAATTATACCGTAAATGTTACAAAAGATAATGTCATTTCGTTTAAAAAACAAAAACTATTCTTTAAACTTTGTGAGCGTATACAAGCATACTATGTATGTATACGCTAAGAATACATTTACATATTTCCCTAGGATGAATAATTTTTACATACAACAAGGGAAGTTAAGTTGATTTTGAAGCATACAGAACGTCAAAACGTAACCATAGAAATACATGTAAATAAATATATAAATAATAATAGTACATTAAAACAATATGACTCATTATTGCGGAAAAGAAAAGAACCAGTCAAATTACCTCTTTTATAGTTTACTATAGATCACATTTTATTTTACTAATGCTTTATTAAGAATAATCACAAATGTAATTATAAAATTGCTTTTAAAATGGGTGTGGTCTTTGTTAATTAGTGATACTGATTGCTAGTTGGATAGTGTTTACAATTTGTGAGGTTAAGACGGAGTCCTTATTGTAACAATATACTACTTTTAAGAGTTAATTTGTAGGGATTTGTAGTCTTACGTGGATTGGCATCAGTTACAGAACCATTGAAAACTAGCCAGTAGTGTTTCGTCCTAGTTTGGGACTCATCATCAGTACTCACCCACCACCAGATTCGATCCCAAGATTTACAGGCTACAAGGAATGCTCGTAGATAATTCAACCATTGAGACCCAACTCAATGGCCTATGAACCCTAATTTCTACCATTTTGTGACTTTAGTGCGAATGGCACCAGCAAATGTCATTGGTGGCGACTATTTGTGTTCACCCTCGACCGGGTGGACCTCACCGGTCAAGACTTTTCACTAGAACTCCAGTCAAATTGGTCGTGCAGCCAGTTACTAGAGAGCATCAGATTAATTTTCAAGAGTTAGTTTGTATTTCTTTTAATTGTCTGGATTTCAACCGCGTTGGGTGCGTCCTGACGAAGAGTCTCTGACTGGGACGAAACAGCTGTCCATTACTCCCTGGTGATTTTCAATGGTTTTCTAACTGATATCAGTCCATGATCAAAACTTCAAGCAAAACAGATCCCTACGAAATAACCAATGAAAATTAATCTGATGCTTGCTAGTGACTGGCTCTGTGCAGAACGAAGTCCCCTGCAGTTCTTCTAGTGGAAAGTCGTGACCACTGGGATCCACCAGGTCGAATGTTAGGACAAATACTCGCCCACTGATGTCGATAAAATCACAAAATCCAAGTAAGCTGAGATCTGCTAACCTAAAACGAATTAGTGCAAACTTTTAGAGTAAAAATAAAAATAAAAACTATCAAACGACAAAAAATTACACATGACTAAAACAAGCAACTTACTACTGCCTCATTTATTTGTAAAGATTTTTCAGGTGTACGATATGGTAGACAGTAAATAAAAGACCATTTATCAATGAAGGCTATCCATGTAATCCAAATATATACAGAAGTAATTGAAAAATGCCTCCTAATTTGGCTTTTAGTCAACCTGAGCATGATAAATATTTTTTTTTGGATATTATATCCAAGAGATACTTATTATTTCAACGCATTTCATGCAAAGTTGGCTTTCTCAGTCTTTAATACTTTCTGGATGTGATGAGAAACCCTCTTTTGTTTTAATTATTGAACCAGTTATGTATGTGCTTGTGTGTGTGTAGTGTTGTGCAGAGATATACCTGAGACCAATCTGTTTATAGGCTAACTTGTATTATCTATATTGTTGTTGCTTTTATCCTCATTTAACATTATTGTGATTATGATAAAAGTTAAACGCACGTGTTTTTTTCTCCGCATATTTATATTAATGATCCACATTGATGTCTAACTTGTGATTGGTTGAAACGACAGTGTGATTCAATTGTGATTGGTTAATTTCGTTGTTTAAATGAAACATTTTTATGTATAAATACCGGCAAAGGTCAGACTTAGTTGGCATTAACTTTTCCCGGTAAAAGCTTGACTAATATGTCTGATAGATACATTATGACTAAAATGTTAATGTCACAGACAATGTCTGGTTAATATTTTTAGGAAAGGCCAACGATATAAACACTTTGGGAATGTTAGTTGAAATCAATAATAATAAGAAAAAAAAATACAGTTTTTCAAAGTTTGGATAGAAATTATTGAATTCAATTTTAGATTTTCCCATCGACTGATTGGACTGAAGTGCTCGGTCTCAGGCTGACATGTAGATTTCATGTGCAAATGCTTTGACGATGTCCAGGCATGTAATCAGAAGTTAATTATTGGATGGTGACTAGCAGTAGAATCCAGATGACGAGTCCCAAAAAGGACGAAATGCGCGTTATCCTGGATTCCCCTGCTAGTCCCCATCCATCAGTTAACTTCCAATTTGGATAGAAACGTTCTTTTGTTTATAATAACTTTCAAAGTTTCGTCTTTTTGGGTTTGAAAGCAGATCTTATTATGTGTACGTGCTTTATGCTCAAGGATTCGAAACTTTTGTTAAGAAAAAATACAATAGAGACTGATTTATATGTGTGCATTTTTTTGGTATGGTTGTGTTCTCTGAGCTGGATAGTTAGTTTGTGAAGCCTTCATCACCCTACTAGGTGACATCTCCAGCGCATACTTCAATTTGAAGTGAGCTTTTAGATCTCTCTACGAGTTTATTAGTCATCTCTCCTGGTGGGTGACCTAGGACGCGATTGGTTGTTTTCGTGTGTTCTCACACCTTCTAGGTTACTTGTATTGGAACTGATTGTGTCGTTGACTTGAACTTTGACCCTTTGTGTGTGGGGTTTCGTTCTTATCTGTTGATAAATTTTGTCTATCTCGATGTGTCTATTGATTGATGATCCACTGGAATGCCAAGCTTCTAAAAATTCTCCAGAATTCTTGTTGTTTCCTGTGTCTAATATTTGAACATTGTCCCAATCGAATTGATGTCTGTGGTTGCCTGTATGTAGTGATATGAGGGAGTGGATGTTATGTCTTTTGACGGCTAGCTTATGATCGTGGATACGAAGACGAAGAGGACGTCCACTTTGGCCAATGTAGTGTTTTTCGCAGTTTTTACAATTTATCTTGTAGTTGATGTTGGTTTTATCTTCATTCGCTATTGAGTCTTTTGGTTGACATAGAAGTGAGTGAAGTGAATTTGTGGATATCCATTCTTTTGAAAAAAGACGTCCATGAGATACCTTTCTTCAATTTTCCTTAAGGTGGGAGTGCTGCCATGAGTTCTGGCCCTCTTGAATAGTGTTTGTATGCAATTCCTTATGTGTGTTATTGAGTTGTTGCTGTTGTCATTCAGTATTTGGTCTGCGTGAGTTGATTTCCTATAATCTTGGGCATAAACTTGGATATCGACGGAATTTCATCAAAAGACATGTACCCCCAAGCCAACCTATCAAACCAAAAGCCCACAAGAAAAGCACAAAGGAAATCGCCCTGTTATATCTAAGGGATATATCAGAAATCACTGCAAGACTCTTCAAACCTTTAGGAATTGACGTCACACACAAACCAACAAAATCACTTCACTCAGTTCTATGTCAACCAAAAGACTCAACATCGAAAGAAGATAAAATCAACATCATCTACAAAATAAATTGCAACGACAGTGAAAAACACTACATTGGTCAAACTGGACATCCCCTTCATCTTCGTATCCACAAACATAAGCTAGTCGTCAAAAGACATGACATCCACTCCCTCACTCATATCACTACATACAGACAACCACAAACATCAATTCGATTGGGACAATGTTCAAATATTAGACAGAGGAAACACCAAGAATGCTAGAGAACTTTTAGAAGCTTGGCATTCCAGTGAATCACCAATCAATAGACACATCGAGATTGACAAAATTTACCAACTGATAAGAAGGAAACCTCACACACACACAGGGTCAAAGTCCAAGTCAAGCAAACAATCAGTTCCAATACAAGTAGCCTAGAAGATGTGAAAACACACAAAAACAACCAAGGTCACTGACCAGGAGAGATGATTAATAAACTCGTGGAGAGATCTAAAAGCTCACTTCAACAAATTGAAATATGCGCTGAAGGGAGATGTCGCCTAGTAGGGCGATGAAAACTTCGCAAATTAACTATCCAGCTCAGAGAACACAACCACATCAAAATCATCCACCTGAGCTACAAATCTTTTCTGTCATATATAAAATCTGTGTGTTTGGCACTCCTTATGGAAAATGGATATCTACCTTGACGTATCAACAGAAATATGAGAAAAAGTGTCAGTCTCTGATGGGTGCAAGTGTTCCTAAGAAAACACTTTTCATGAATCTAGAGTTCAAAGATGACATTGTGAGCAGATATTTTTAGAAACTGACTTTCTAAATATCTAAAGAAGACACTCCAATCAGTTGTAATACAAATCAGATTCTCCAAAAAAAACAGTTAATCCAGTCTTTCATTAAGGATAAGGTACTGCTTTTGGTTACCTCAATGTGCATTTATCAATTAAACTATTCCTTGCTTGGAGGATTTATTCTATATAAACGTTATGTAAATGATACATTCATTATTGGTAATAATATGAAATCTATTGAAAACTTTATAACTCTATTTAATCATATTCATCCAAATATCCGAGTGAATTCCGAACTCGGATTGATTAACAAACTCGGTTTCCTCGATATTACAATGACCAGGAGAGATGATGGAATGATGATTAAGCGATCTATTTTTAGTAAACAGACATGGAGTGGACAATATCTTCATTTTACCAGTTTTATTCTTATCCAGTATAAACGCACTATAGTGAAATGTTTGTTCTCAAGGGCCCGAAAAATATGCACGAGTGAAACAGTGATGGATGAGTTTCGACATATACATTCAGTTTTATTAGCTAATGGATACCCTGAAAACTTTATCAATTGTCAGAGTAGGAATAGACCACATCTCGAAAAGACAGCTTCTGTACCAAAGAAAGCTATCTTTATGAACCTAACATTCAAGGGTGACCAGATTATGTAGTCAGCCATCAAACGCACATTCTACGCTGCATCTCTTTCCCTCACACGCCGAACATTTTCGATCCCTGTACCTACGATTAAAGGACGAATTCCTGTGGATTCTACTTCAAACTGTATCTACAAGTTCACCTGCAGCTGCGGTGTCGTCGAAAAGAACATGTTCCAAATTGGTTATTAAGGCATAAAGAAAATCCCAATGTAATTAATCTGAATAGAAATCCAGCATCATCCATTGCAAAACACTTACTAATGTCAGGTCACAAAATCAATATTAATGACTATTTCACAATTATTTCACATAACTCTAATTCAAGGTCGTTTGTTAAAGGGGATGGAAGCACTTTGGTTAATCACATACAGCCTAAAGTGTGTGTACAAAAAAAACAATAGACTTCAACCTTCACCTACCATGGACTACTTGACCTTTTGTTTTGTATATAGCTGAGTAATTGTCATGAACTTTATTTTATTATTGTTAACCATGGTAGTTGTAAAGCGGTTGTAAAGAAACTACGAGATGATGTCACCTCGCGAAATTTGTCTTCTAAATGCCTCATTTAAACTATTCCTGTTAAATAAAGTATATCGTCCGTATACCGCGTCAGATACTCCAACGTTTTCTGAAACACTTTCCAACTTGGCTAGCTAAAGGAAAAAATAAGAACACCAGTAGTTTTGTCCTCAAACACCTTGTCAATTCTGGACATTGGGCAACTCCAAACGATGGCTTCACAGTGCTACACACAGTTCTTCAATATATCTCACGAAAGGACTTCGAATGCACCATTTAAATATAGCTGACTTACTGGTTTTATTCGGGATCTGAAATCGGACCTCTGCGTTCAAAAGCACTACATACATTCGCTAACCTTATCGTAACCATAGTAACAATCATTATCATTATTTATTATTAATAACACTGTATTTTTCATACGGATTTTATATAAACACTACTCTCTTTCCATTAGCTTATGTCCATTTGCATAGATTAGTCATTTTCACGATTAATGCGTAATTTCAGCTTCTTTTGTCTAGTTCCCAATTAATCAAGTTATCCCCCGTCTTGACTGCACTTCACAATTATGTGATACGTTTCCAGGCACATAATTATCAGCATTGATTTTGTAGCGATTTAGTTTGATTTGATGGAGGATTTCATCATGAGCTGACATCAGTTAGAGAACCACTGGAAAACCTGGGAGTACTGCACAGCTGTTTCGTCCTAGTTTGGGACTCTTCATCAGTACGCACCCACCGGGATTCTAACCCAGGACCTTCTGGATACAAGGCGAGCGAGCTCGTAGACCATTGAGCCATTGGGACCCGATCCTATGGCCCATGAATGCTAACTTCTGCCAATTCATGACATAGCGCGACCATTTCGCAATGTCTTCTCTTCGATGAGTTACTGCCTCATCTTCAATCTGCTGTACCCTACTGGTCACGGCTTCCCACTAGAACTCCAGGTTAACTGCCTGAATAGGGCCAGTCTGATTGATCGTATGAATTCTTTGTTAAATATAAGAGTACGACAAAAGTGACTTATCGAAAAGAAAATTTTCTTCACCATTTACGTGATTTTTACTTTTAATGTGTGTTTGTCTTAACCCGTGAGTCACACTTTTGTGTAAATTTGTTGAATTATGACGATGTCGTCGCTAAGTGAAAAATAAATATAGCAATTTTCAAATCCGTGGCTAGACTAGCCTAAGTTAATCAGATATTGGTGCGTGGCTGAACTTAAACTAATCAGGAGTTACAAAACTTAAGGTTACTGAGCCACAGAATAAACACTGT